TCCAATTCATATTGCCATCGTGCACTGAAGATAATTCTCCGAAGACTAAAAGCTCTGCTTGTTTAGAAAAGTCAATGATTTTAGTTCTTTATATGCAATTGAGGTTCTGTTTCCCTTCTAAACGTTCCTTTACCAATTTTTCCAAAGCGAAAAGATGCTCATCTGCTTCTTCTGGCACAAGGTTCCTAATAGAATTTGCAAGTTCAAAAAGATATTCTGTATTTCTTCCACTTGGACCAGCTGCATTAAAAATTTGTTCAGCAATGTCTTCCAGAGGTGCAGGACCAAGATAATCAGGATTATCACATGTTCCAATATATAGCAATACACTGAATGGTTTTGTTGTGGGATCTTTTGGATAAAAAATGACTGTTGTGGTTCTGTAGCCTCCTTTCTCTCTGAAGTCAAGGTATGCTTTTACTTCTTCTTCCTTTCCTACTGGCAATCTGTAAGCAACACCCCATACACATCCCTGTTGAAAAATGAAAAGAATACACTAGTATTTATAAGGCTAATTAAAATAAATGAAGATAGGTTGTGATCTAAGAAGTATCTCATATATTCTTTTCTGTTTGTTTTTGAGATGAAGTCTTGTCTGTTGCCCAGGCTGCGGTGTAGTGGCATGATCTTGGCTCACTGCAACCTCCGCCTCCCAGGTTCAAGCAATTCTCCTGCCTCAGCCTCCCCAGTGACTGGGATTACAGGAATGCACCACCATGCCCAGTTAATTTTTGTATTTTTAGTAGAGAAGGGGTTTTGTCATGTTGGCCAGGCTGGGCTCGAACTCCTGACCTCAAGTGATCTGCCTGCCTCGGCCTCCCAATGTGCTGGGATTACAGGCGTCAGCCGCTATGCCTGGCCATATCTTGTATATTCCTAAAAGTGGGCCGGGAGGGCTCACGCCTGTAATACCAGCACTTTGGGGGCCTAGGCGGGTGGATCCCGAGGTCAAGAGTGCAAGACCAGCTTGGCCAAGATGGTGAAATCCCATCTTTACTAAAAATACAAAAATTAGGCGTGGTGGCAGGCACTTGTAATCCCAGCTACTCGGGAGGCTGAGGCAGGAGGATGGCTTGAACCCCGTGGCAGAGGTGGCAGTGAGCTGAGATCACGCCACTGAACTCCAGCCTGGGTGATGGAGTGAGACTGTCTCAAAAAACAAACAAACAAACAAAAAAACAGTCAATACAGTTTTTCTTCACTTAAAGTACACAGAAGAACATACTAAACAATAAAGGAAATAAGCACTTTAAAATCTCCATTGTGAATAATTTCTTTGTATCATAGGCACAGCAAGATATTTTATCTTAAAATTTTTTAAAATTTGGTCTTTTTTAAAAAATAATGGGACTGAAATGAAAAATACGAGGCTTTCACTTGGTTATTAAAAAATTCTACAAACAAAGTGCCATTTGTTTATTAACTAATTAGGAGTTATTAGTTACTAATTTGAAGGTCTTTTTTATAAATGCTTTTCATAGTATAAATTATGAAAGCATTTCCTATTCCACACCATTGTTTATATTCCATTACTAACTGCTTGATTTTTGTTCATTAAAGTTCTTTCCAAAGTTAAACATTTAATTTCACAATATAAAATTCTGAATCTGTACTCCAATAAAATGATTGAAAATATTTGAGAAACTGAGGTTGTTGGTTAAATAAAACTTTCTGGTGCTCCAAACCAGTTTTAAAATCACAGGTGCTACTGGGGTCTACTGGAGGGTGGAGGATGGGAGGAGGGAGAAGATCTAGAAAAATAACTAATCGATACTAGGCTTAATGTTTATACCTGGGTGATTAAATCATCTGTACAATAAACCCCCATGACACATGTTTACGAATGTAAAAAACCTGCACATCCTGTACATGTACTCCTGAACTTAAAAAAACAAAAACACAAAACACAACACACAAGTGCTATTGATACAATTAAGTAATAAAGAAAATAATTCCTCACTTAGATTTCTGCTGAAAATGAGACTCGTAGCAAAAGTGAAGCGAGCTTTTGAGGGTTCCATTTAATTATTGGTGGTGGTCTGGCTGTCGGGGGGATATTTCCATTAATGTCAAAGGGGACCACAAAATTCTTAGTTAATACACTTGTTTTTTAAAAAAACCCACGACCAGGTGCGGTGGCTCACGCCTGTAATCCCAGCACTTTGGGAGGATGAAGCGGGCGAATCACGAGGTCAGGAGATTGAGAGCATCCTGGCTAACACGGTGAAACCCCGTCTCTACTAAAAATACAAAAAAATAGCCGGCGTGGTGGCGGGCGCCTGTAGTCCCAGCTACTCGGGAGGCTGAGGCAGGAGAATGGCGTGAACCCCGGAGGCGGAGCTTGCAGTGAGCCGAGATGGCGCCACTGCACTCCAGCCTGGGCGACAGAGACCGAGACTCCATCTCAAAAAACAACAACAACAACAACAAAAACCCCACAAAAACGAAAACTACATGCCATTTGTTTGTACATTGTTGTCTACCTTGCACTCTGCATTCTAACTTTTCTTACTGGCCTCATTTTTCACAAACACGAAAAAACCCACAAATACAGAGAAGAATTCTAAACTTAGGGTAGTTCAAATTGTCTGTAATGATTGTTAATCAAATTGAAACTGAGAAACATCTCAACATTTTATAAAATTAAAATTACACAAAAAGAATATTTATACCATACCGCAGGATCTTCAACAAGAGTCACAACTCTTCCAGGCTGTTTTGAAAAAGGTAAACAAATTTTTTTTCTGAATTAATAAAGTTCATTAAGTAGCTGAGTATTAGCAACATTTTTGACATAGAATATTTGAACTATATTTGCTTATAAGAAGCACTATTTCTTAAGCATAGTTATTTTTTATGATAAAGCTAAAGTGAATTAAGAGAACCTACTTCATCTAGAGACTGTGTTGGCCTTATTTCTAAAAGATTTCCATCAATTTATACATATTAGGTATATTATATTCACTTTACATGGATATATTGGAAAACATACCAGTAACTAAAGGTCATCTAAAATGAAAGGCAAATGGAAGCAGTAATTATAAATATTCTGGTTTTTCCCTTAGGAAAAAAGAAGGTTATAGATTTATTTGTTTATTTATTGAGACATAGTTTTGCTCAACAAGCCCAAGCTGGAGTGCAATGGTGCAATGTCGGCTCACTGCAACCTCCAACTCCTGGGTTTAGGCGATTCTCTCACATCAGCCTCCCGAGTAGCTGGGATTACACGTGCCCGCCACCATGTCCAGCTAATTTTTGTATTTTTAGTAGAGAGGGGGGTTTCACCATGTTGCCCAGACTGGTATGGAACTCCTGACCTTAGGTAATCCACCCGCCTTGGCCTCCCAAAGTGCTTGGATTACAGGCATGAGCCACTGCGCACGGCCTATAGTTTTATTAGGGGAAAAAAAATATATGACATAAAGGGTGTTTTCCTATATATAGGGAAGTGACTTTCAAACTTTTAGTGTAGATCAAAATGACCTAGAGGGCTTGAGAAACACATTGTTAGGCCACACATCCAGAGTTTCTGATTCTGTAGGTCTGGAGCTGTCTAAGAATTTGCATTTGTAACAACTTCTCGCTGATTTCAGAAATTGTTTTGGGGCTCATACTTTAAGAACCACTGCTACTAGGGGATATTAAGAGTTTTTAAGTGCGAGAGATTGAGTGATTTACACTTCTGAGTTATGAAGGGTTCTTACCTTTCTGTATATGGTAATGGTGCTTCAAGGTAGGCATTCCTTTTACATTCATAAATGAACTTTACTTTGCCCTACTGAAAGGTCAGTATTAGAACTGGCCTATTCGTTTAGTTCTTATATGGAACAATCACTTGTGTTCTAGGCAATTTTATTTTCCCATTTTGGTTTTAACACAGGTCAGTTAACAATATTATGGAAACCTTCACTTTTTACTATTCAGCTTGAGGTTGAAATGATATATTATGAAGCCAAAACAAGTTTTATTTGTTTTCCCATTTCAAAGACTGATAAAACAGTCTTTGTTTATAAATGGAAAGCCTTAGAGAAAGCTCAGACTTGGAATATTCCGTAATTTAAAGCACAAAGGTGACACATATCAGTGCCTGCAAGTTGTTTTTTTTTTTTTTTAAATAAAAGTCATCCATAGAGTACCAAAGGCTGTATGTGTACTGATACCCTAACATCATTCGTGGGAATGTTGAGTCATAAGCCACAATTTTACCTACTTGTGTGGCCAGTGTCTGGCACATAGTGAGCCTAAATCATACAGGCATTTGTGTCATCTTTGTTGCTATTTCCTTCTAGTCTTTATCTGTTCATATAGATAATTCGTAATCATGGAACACATGGGATTTTGGATTATGATTTCTCATTTAATTTTCCTTGTTAGTCTTCTCATACATTTTAATAGTTGCATAATATTGTGTCATTGATGAACTATAAACATTCCTGTGTTCTTGGACATTTAGATTTCTGCCTTGTTTTCTTTTTAAGATAATGCTATAATGAGGATACATATATTGGTGAAGGTCAGGTAGATATTACCATATTATTTTCAATTTCAAAGTTAATTAGAAGTTATTTATGAATACCTACTGTGTGCTATGGAGAATAGGAACTCTTGATTCTTGGTTCCAGTAGCTTATATTGTCATTCTAGAATGCAAACTAACATATGAAATAAATAGAGCTTATGGACTAAGTATGGTATTAAGTGCAGTTAGAATTCTGAGTCTTAGGTGATCAGAAAGACACCTTTTTTTTTAGCTCCTCTTTTTTTTTTTGAGACAGAGTTTCACTCTTGTTGCTCAGGCTGGAGTGCAGTGGTGCAATCTCGGCTCACCGCAACCTCTGCCTCTCAGGTACAAGCAATTCTCCTGCCTCAGCCTCCAGAGTAGCTGGGATACCGGCATGCACCACCACGCCCAGCTAATTTTGTATTTTTAGTAGAGACGGGGTTTCTCCATGTTGGTCAGGCTGGTCTTGAACTCCTGACCTCAGGGGATCCACCCACCTCGGCCTCCTAAAGTGCTGGGATTATAGGCGGGAACCACTGCGCCCGGCCCAGCTCCTTTCTCCTTTTAAAAAATCACGGACTGTTGTGTTGACTAGGCAATTTCTGATCATCAGTCTGTTCTGACAGCATACATATCTCAATGTGTTATGTAATACACTGTACGTTTTGGTCAAGACTAGAGTACTAAAGTATGTTGTTACAACCACTTACATAAATATTTTATACTTGGCCATTATAATTGGAGGCTGGGCTAAAGGTTTTCTCTTCAGAATGGCAATTTTAAATATTCGTATTAAAACTGAGAACTCTCAAACTCCTGGCCTCAAGCAGTTCTCCTGGCTCAAACTTCCAAAGTGTTGAGATCACAGGCATAGCCACTGGGCCCAGCCAAAACTGACAACTCAGAAGCCATTTTATTTAGCTTAATTCTTTAATGTCTTGAATATTGTTTTAGAACATTCTTGGAGATACTTTGGCCATGACATTTCTGTTGATCTATAAATGTGCATTTACCTTAAGCCATTTGCCTCTTTTCAGGTCATTGTGTCCAATGTCCCAATAGGCCAGTATAGTCTACTTAAAAGCTAAGTTCTTAAGTGATCAATTGTAGTTGAGATAGAATGGTTTCTAACTCAGCTTCTTTTCGTGATTTTAATCCCGCGACTCTTTTATGAGCAGGTGCAAACTACTTTAGAGCCTTGATCTTTTCCCATTTCCATTGACCAATTTCCAAATTATTAGTTACCTCAATCTTAGTTTTCTTTATGGGTTAGTTGTTTTGTAGCCAGTACAAAGCTGATTTGCATAAGCAGTGAGCTGCTGCTAATTCTCTATACATATATTAATGCCTTTGTATGACCGACTGAAAAGTGGATCAAATAACTTACATTTCACATTATAATTATGAGAACCATCAAGAAAGTAACATTAAAATAATGCTGGATATAATAATGAGCTTGGTACTGTGTTACTCATATAACCAGAACTTCATTTAACTTCGCTAGTACCTGAAAACCAAAGTGAGTTCCTCGATAACTAGAGAAAATTTCGGAAACTCGTTCTATAATCCTAGGTGTCAGAAAATAAAACACTTGAAAGATGTAAAGAAATCCTAGAAGTAACATGCACGTTTAATCGCAAACCCATGAAATTGGCTAGAACACAGAAATGCCAACAAGTTTAACTGCTAAAAAGCTGAATTTGCAACTTGATTTTACTATTTCAACTATGTAGTGACATGAAAATTCATCTTCCCGCCAGTGGGATTTTTTTTTTCCCCTCTCCGCACTCAGCCTGGCGCGAGCTCGTGTGCCCGTGCCCGCGCTTCTCGCCGCCTCTAGAAACTAACCACCGGCATCTTAAGCAGCTTCGGAAGGAGTGCCCGGGCTGGGTTAGAGATGGCGGGCAGGTGGCAGGGAAAATCTACAGAAATAAGTGTTGCCCCAAGCCATGTGCTTGGCCCCCATGAAGCGCTAAGGTGTGGTTCCCTAGGGTGTGAGTGCTGTGTGTGGAGTTGGGGAGCGGGGGTCCGGGGACAGTAAGTGTGGGGAGCTGGCCGGCGCCTCACCTTGCCGGGGACCCCGCGGTGGTCCGTGCTGCCCTGCCAGAAGCGCCTGCTGTAGTTTGTGATGTATCCGACCAGCTTGTCCTGATAGGGGAAATCCACCTTCCAGATCAGGGACCCGTAACCAAAAACCCACATCTTTTCGCGGCTCCTCTGCCACGGCGACGGTGAACCCTAGTTGTTGCCGCGCCGCGGGAGACTGCAGCCTCCGGTAAGCGAGTAACCGGCTGCGCGGGGCGCAGGCGCGATGGCCACTTGGGGCGCAAAGCGCACTGGGAGTTTGGATCCAGAAAGGTTTTCCGAGTAAGTCTCAGTCAGCTTTATTTTATTTCCTTGATTAGGGAGTCAAGAGGCATTAACTTTCGGTGTAGTAAGCAACGGATTCTTTTGCAGCCTCTGTAAATCACCCTAACCTACCTTTAGTGCGCGTGTGCAGAAAACTACAACACCCACAATGCTTTTTGGAGCTATTTGGCTCTGAAATTGGAACTGGACTTATTTCTAACCCGGGCGAGGAAGGAGAAAAGGGCAGGAGTCGTCGCTCGTGGTGTCGAGATACGGAGGCGGTGTACCAGCACCGCAGGCAGCACCTAGAAACATGTTTTGCTCTGCTTTGGAAATTAGATTTTTGCCTATATAACAGCAGCAGGAGGAATGTAATCCATATTTGATTTTATGTCCTCAAAAGAATGTCTTTTGCCTTTCAAATAAAAGCGGGATGTTTACAATAGAAGTTTACGCCTGTGAAAGAGTATGTGTCATTTCAATGGGAATTGTTTATATATTTAAATTTTACACAAATTTATTCATCTTTAGTATTATCAGTGACTTGTTCACAAAAGAGCAGGCAAATGTTCTTAACTTGGGGCCCCTGTAAAGGCTTTGGAAACGAGCTGGGGAACCTGCCGAATTTGTGTACAAAATTTGGGGTGTACACTTTTCTGAGGGGAAACTACAGCTTTCATGAGTTTCTCCAAGACGTCAGGGATCCTAAAATTTTTTGAAGATCTGCTCGTTAGAGCTCTTGCTGCAAAATATTGTTTAGGAAACTCGCTTGGACTATCATGGCTGTGTCTGTGTGTGAAAACAGAAGCCTTACCAAGTGATTGTTCTTTCTTGAAGATTTTTATACTGTGGTTTTGAATGCTAAAACACTCAGATTCAAGGGGTATTATTTCTTTTCTTATAAAGAAATCAGCAGGAAGCTACCAAACAAACAAAAAACAAGTCTTTTCCTATTTTCTCTAAGTTGTAGTTTCAAATTGCCTGACATGTTTGCTAACCCTTCTTTTCTGAAAAATTTCGAATATACAGAAAACTTAGATAAAAAGAGTGTAATGACCAATACGTTTCATCTAGATCCGATAATTACCATTTTTCACAGTTGTTTTACTTCCTTTTTACTCTATACTTTTAAATGGAAAACATTTGAAGTAAGTTGCATGTGTTACAACGTTTTACTGCCACATGCTCTACATGTGTCTTATAAGAATAAGGACATTCATCCTAGAACAAGTTCCCTAAAAAAAAAGAATAAGGACATTCTCCTCATAACTGTAATGCCATTATCACATCTAAGAAAATTAACAATAGTTATGTAATCAAATATGTATTCCATATCCAAACTGCTTCATAGAGTCACTAACAAGAAATTGTGTCTTCGAGAGAGTCACATGAGAGTTATACTGGACTCTGACTGGAGGGGAACTTGAAGTGAGCATTGGAGGGAGATGATGATGCGGGCAAGAACTCTGTTAAGAACTTTCTGGGCTATGTAGGAAAGTGGGGCTCGTCTCTTTATGGTGTTCTATGTTGGTTTCAATATGCTCAGTCAGTACAACTATTTGGTCAAGCATAGAGAACCTGAGTGTTTAACCTCTTCTGGAAAGGACCAGCAGGTGCAGGAAGACTAGAATGACACCTATCTTTCACTGCTTTTCTGGACTTTTTGGGTGTAGTTGTTTCCTATAGAGGGCTATATATTGAGACTGAGCATTGCTGGTAGTGGAATGGTCATCTCTGCATAATGTAGTGTACACTGGGGATTAAGTAGAGGTGCTCTCATCAATGGAGCACCAAAGAGTACATTGTGGTGGGGTATGAACAGGAGCAGAAGCCTGCTGCTCAAACATTTCCAGAGGAGGAAAGAACACTTAAAAGTCCCTTCATGTTTTTAGTAGGAACATTCCAAGGAATTCTAATCTGCCAAACGCAGAAACTTCCTGGTTTAGGCACTAGCAGAGACTGTGGCGTGGTAGTCACTTTCTGTATTGTGGGCCCTTCTTTGGCAGTCATGTGAGAGATACTAGACAGGCCCACTGTGATCTGCTAACCTCTAGGAGTGAAGTGTTGTTTTATTGACTATAGTATTATCCTTCTACCTTGTTTTGTAGACTGGTCAAACAAATGGATTTTACAGAGGCTTATGCGGACACGTGCTCTACGGTTGGACTTGCTGCCAGGGAAGGCAATGTTAAAGTCTTAAGGAAACTGCTCAAAAAGGGCCGAAGTGTCGATGTTGCTGATAACAGGGGATGGATGCCAATTCATGAAGCAGCTTATCACAACTCTGTAGAATGTTTGCAGATGTTAATTAATGCAGGTAAAGTAAATTTAAGGTATGGAGGCTTCGCTTACAAGCTGGGTTAATAAAACATAAAAACAATTATAATACATAACTTATTAACAGCAGTATTTGTTTCCCTTTCTATAGTCATAAAATAACTGCCTGAATTTATTTAAGGATAGTAAGATTATTTGCCTTGGATTCAATTCGTATGATATTCTAGTTGGACATTTTATATGCAAGTGCCTCTGTCTGGCCTCTTTTTATTGACCGAGCTAGGTGACATGGGAGAAGTAGTCTGCTGTTTGAATTTAAGCATTTGGTAGTTACTGGTCATGTTTATTCTTTCTTCCTTTACCAAACAGAAAGAGCAATCATACTGAAATTGAGGATGTGTTTTGATTGAATTAGTCTTTTTCTTTTTAAACACTTTTTAATACTTTTGGGAATCTTTACAACTACTTAGCATGAGACAAGATGCCTGCCTTCCTGATGCTTTTCCTTATCAAGGAAAACAGATGACAAATATCTAAACAAACAAGATAATTTAAAAAGGTAAAAGTGTCATGAAGAAAAGAAAACATAGTAGAGATAATAAAACAAATGGAATAGAGAATAATGGTGTGCTACTGCACATCTCTTTACATCTCTGCATTCAGTGACTTCATGCTTGCGGTCTATCATGGTAGGAGTATTTACAGCACAGAAATAAGCCAGTGCTACAAACCAGTGCTATAAACTGGGTTTTCTTCTTCCTGGACAGCTAGTTGTTAAACGTTAACCAGCATGCTACTGAGTGAAGAGGACTGACTAAAGGCGAGATTCTGACATTTAGTAGAGAGGGGGTAGGAAGACAACAGATGGTGGATTGAGCATTGCTTTGTAATAGTCATTGTGCCACATGCTCAAGTTTGTCTTCTTTAATATTTATAAAAGTGGTGTTAGAGGCAGTATTCTCCTCATTGGTGAAAAGACCAAGGCTCAGAGAAGTTGACTTGTAAAAGGTTACATAATAAACTAGGGTATTTGATTTGAACCCATTTCTCTGACTCTAAAGCCCTTTTTTTCTCTCATACCATGCTTCTAACATTTAATTGAATGAATTTATAGCATTCAGTTAAACTGAGGTTGACTATAATACTCTGCATTGTAACACTCAGAGAACCGTTTACATTTCATTGATCATGGAAATTCAGACCCTCTTCCCTTCATACTTATCATCACCAGGTATAGGTGCTTAAAATACAGACTTCTGGGTCCATAGCTCATCAGAACTACTAATTTGTTACCTCCTGGACAGGAAAGGAAATAATCTTTACATTGTTTTTAGTAGTGGTAGGTGGTTTTTTTTGTTTTTTTTTTTTGTCTTAACAGGTAAGAGATGGTAAGGCTAAACTCCCTAAATCGTACTGCAGGAAATTTGTCATGATTGTTTTTAAAATCACATGTTCAAGTGTCTAGTGTCTATTATAGTTAAGTTTTTGAAGATACTGGAAAAATAGATATTATTCCTCTAATTTCAAATGCTTAAGATATGTTTTCAGAATCTGTTTGAAGTTAACTATAAAGCTTGAGTTCCCAGACTATTTGTAGTAACAAAGACGTGAGTTTGAATATCCTTTTCTAGGCAAAAAGCTCATTTCCAATATACTGTTACGTCTCTTCTTCATATCGGAATAGCATAGTTTATGTTACAGATTTTTTTCCTTTATCTGCTGAGTAAAGTTGGGCATGCTTTTGGCTAAAGGCTGTTAAATTCATCTCTACAGTTGTCCCTCTGTATCCACAGGGATTTGATTCCAAAATGTCCACGGACACCAAAATTCATGGATGCTCCTCAAGTTCTGCAGTCTGTCCTGAAGATAGAAAAATGTCTTATACGCAGGTACAAAAAGTCAGCCGTTTGCATCTGGGGGCTCCACATCCCACAGATGCTATTATCTTCCATCCCAGTTGGTCGAATCTGCAGGTGCAAAACCCATGGATACAGAGGCCGACTGTATTTCCTTTTTTTCTGAGATGGAGTCTTGCTCTGTCGCCCAGGTGGGAGTGCAGTGGTGCGATCTCAGCTCACTGCCACCTCCACCTCCCAAGTTCAAGCAGTTCTCCTGCCTCGGCCTCCCAAGTAGCTGAGACTACAGGTGCACACCACCAATGCCTGGCTAACTGTCTCACTTTGTTGCCCAGGCTGGTCTCAAACTCTTGGCTCAAGTGATCCTCCTGCCTCAGCTTCCCAAAGTGCTGGGATTACAGGTGTGATGCACCACACCTGCTGTCTTTTGTTATATAATTTTCCTACCTCCCTGAGGTTTATCTAATATTAATGCACTGTCACAGATTCCTAAAAGATAATTAGTGCACCAAAATGAGAAGGTATGTAGGCCTACACAAATAGAATGGAAATACGTAAACTGGTTAGAAGAGTTTTGCTTCACTGTCTATTCAATTTAGATTTGGAATCCATTCTGAGTACAATACGTGGTCTTCTGACTCAGATTGGAGAAGAGCATTCAAGTGTGGTGTAGATTACATAGATGTTTAATATGCATACATATTTTTGTATTTCTTATGTATCTCATTTTAGTTTTTTATTTAACATATTAGCACAGATAACAAATTTGCTTGTCTTCTTTCCTGTATTGGAGGTTGGGTGTAATGGGTAATGAAATTTTATGAAGCTTGTCATCCTGGAGGGCAGTAATGATCTTCACTGACAATTAATGTCATTCAATAATAAATCATTTGCTGACTAAAAGTCCCTTAAAATCTTATAATTATTAAGCATATAGCTAACAAATACTTTTATTTACCTAATAAATGACCTAGCTTATAGTATTTTTTGTTAGTTCATGTTAAGTAAGAAAATATGCATTAATACTGGGCACAGTAACAGATGCTGAAGTTCCTTAGACAAATCATTGTAGCATAGTGATTAAGAGTTGTGGTCAGATGGACCTGGATTCTAGTGATTCTACCATTTTATTGGTGTGACTTTGGACAGGATTTTTAAACTCTAGGTGGTTTAGTTTTTTCATCTGTTAGATAGAAATATTCCATTGTTCCAGCTCAGGCCAGAAACTGGGCCACCATTCATTTCTTTCTTTTTCTCATATTTTTCATCTAGTCAGTCAGCAAATTTGTGTATGTGTAGGTTAGGGAGAGACATCCTAGCAAAAGCAGGGGCCAGTCAGATCACTTCTCACTACCATTAGTACATTTGTCAGAGCCACATCTCTTGTCTGGGTTGCTATAGTAGCATCTTAACAGATCTTCTCTACTTGCTGTTGCTCCTTCTCCATCCCATGACAGGCCATCCCCAATATATTAGAGGGATCATTTTAAAATACAACAGTCCAAGTCACTCTTCTGCTCTCTGAGTGAAAACACTTTTGTGTAGTATTTCATGGTAGAAATGTAGTGTAATTTATGTAACCATTCTCCTATTGATAGACATTTTGTTGGTTTCCTAAAGTTTTGCTGTTATAACTAGTGATTCAGTGAACATCCTTTTGTATATATCTTTGTGCACATGGTTGAGCATTTCTGTAGGATGGAGTTTTAGAAGTACATTTACTGGTTTGATAAGTTAGAGTTTTCTGGAGAAATAGAACCAATAAAATATATATAGATAGACAAGAGGGGATTTACTATGGGAATTGGCTACTGTAATTATGGGAGCTGAGAAGTCCCATGATACACTGTCCGTAAGATGGAGAACCAGGGAAGCTGGTGGTGTAACTCAGCCTGAGTCTGAAGGCCTGAGAACCAGGGGAAGTGATCGTGTAACTCTTAGTCTGAGGCCAAAAGACTGAGAACTGGGGTATGGGAGGCCACTGGTGTAAGTCCTGGAGTTTGAAGGCCTGAGGATCAGGATCTTTAGTATCCAAGGGCAGGAAAAGATGCATGTCCTAGCTCAAGAGAGAATGAATTCTCCCTCTTGCCTTTTTTTTTTTTTCTTTCAGTTGCAAGATTAATAGAGTGAAAACAGAGCTCCCATACAACGGGAGGGGACCCAAAGGGGGTTGCCGCTCCCTGTTCAAATGCCTGAGTTTATATCCCGATCATTGTCCCTCCCCCTGTGCTCTCAAGCGATATGTGATTTGACTATTTCTTTACCTCCTGCTTTAGCCTAATTGTATTTTAGTGAGCCTCTTTACTACCTGATTGGTTGGGTGTGAGCTGAGTTACAAGCCCCATGTTTAAAGGTGGATGTGGTCACCTTCCCAACTAGGCTTAGGAATTCTTAGTTGGTCTAGGAAATCTAGCTAGTCTTGTCTCTCAGTTCTCCCTCTCAACAGGAAAAACCAAGTGGTGTTGGGGATGTTGGCCGACGACTGCTCTTAACTGCTTCCTGCTGAATTGGGGCATAGTAGGGGTTGTGCATTTGAGATTTCCTCGGGAGGGGTGCCTTCAATGTCATCAACATTGGAGCATGGGCTAGCAGGCCGGTCCAGGGGTCTACAGTAGATCTTAGTCATGGACTGCATCTGGGGTTCCATTTGAAGAACAATTTGTAGTTTTACAGCTTTGATTCTGGAAGAGACAAACGTAACAAGGAGGTTAACGATACAGGGATTGAAATGTAGACCTGAAGTGCAGGGGATTATTTCTTTGGCACACTTCACAGGCCCTGACTATCTGCTTGATAGTTTTGAAAAGGCCTGGTCCAGTAAATAATGATTTGGCCATCTGATGGGTGCTATCAATGCCTAAGTGAAAGGTCTGGTGAAAGGTTTTAAGTAATTTCCATTGGTTAGCTGCAGGCAAAGGTATTTTTCCTTCTTCAGTGGCTAGCCATCCTGAGGGGAGGAAGCGGTGTCCTCTTTTGGTTCCCGATTCTATTTCTTCTGTTGAATACGGGGGCTTGGTTTCCTTGAAGGGTTTACCCCATACAAGGGGTCCTCCTGTAAGCATTTCTAATGGAGGGGCCCGCCTTGTGGCTCTTTTGGCTTCAATATCTGCTTCGCGGTTCCCTTCTATTTCTCTTTTCTTTTCTTTCTGATGACCCCAGCAGTGTAAGACTGCCGCCTCTTTAC